TCCTTTTAGGAGCTTGTCTCATGAGGTTATCAATCCTGATGGTGAGTGTGACAAAATCGGAGAAGGAGGACTCCTCACCCTTGCATGCAAGTTCTGCCTGAAGATCACCGTTGAAACTTTTGTGAAACATAGCTTTTAAAGCGACATCATTCCATCCACCCTGGGCAGCGAGAGTTCTGAATTCTATGGCAAACTCAGCAGCGGAATGATTACCTTGTGTCAGATTGATGAGCTGTGTCGAAACGTCCTTTCCGCCGTGAGGATATTCAAACACTTCACGGAGTTGTTGAATGAAGTACGTCACTGAATTCCTCAGGCGTGAATCCGAGTTCCAAATGGCTGCTGCCCAGTCGATAGCTCTGCCCGTCAACAGTGTCATGATGAAAGAGCACTTTTTGCCCTCTGATTCGAATCTCTCTCCTTGATGATCCAGATAAACTTGTACTTGGCGAATGAAGCCCTTGCATTGCTCAGCGGTACCGTCAAATTTGTCAGGAAGAGCGAGACTTACAGTCTTAGGAGTGAGTGGAGGGAGAGATTGAATGTAGTGCATCAGGTGTTCGTTGACGGTCTGCAGCTTGGTGAGGGCTCCCTCTGCTGGCTTGGCGTTACATATAGCTTTTATTTTTTCAGTATTTATATTTTATTTTAATTTATTTCAGCTTGGTTTTAAAATAGTTTTAGTTTTACGTAACCATAACAGCACTGGCCCATGAAGAGCATTAATCAATTATTTTAGGGGTCTTAAAGGGGTCATATCATACATGGCTATAACTGTATTTTTTCCCTAAAGTTGACTTTGTTGTTAGTAACATTTTTGTGCCAGCATTTTCCCACAACCATCCAACCTTTCTCTGCCATAGAATCTAACATACTGCTTTTTCTGCTGTTCTATTAAACAGTAACCCTGCATTTTGGCTTTTTCCTTATAAACTCTCCATGTCTGGGCAGTCAAGTTTCTAATCACTCAGCAGGCAACAGTTACATGTTAATATACATGGTCATGTATTGAAATTTACCCCTTAAAACAGATCAAATTTCTCTAGTAGTATATTTTAATCAGCCTTGGTTCTTTGCTAATTTCTGTAGAAATGCATTTGTAATTGTTCATCAGAACTGCGTTTATTTTGCTCAGGAGGCCAGTGAGCGGCTGACATTGTTCACAGCAGATGAAGAGGTCTTTGCCTTCCAGAGGACAATATCTCGCCTCACAGAGATGCAGACAGAACAGTACTGGCTAAGTGGGGATCGGAGTCAAACATGAACTGAAACTGCCTTGCAGTTACCAACTACCTCTTAATAGAGTCCAAAGGAGAGTCTCCCAAATCATTTGGGATGGTACATTTCCATCACCACAAACACACTGTAAGCTTGATCTTATTACTTTAAAAGCAAGTGGAATCATCCATATGCTCACATCACCATTAATATGCAAAACTAAATCTCCTTGACTGCAATAGGAGAATGCATACTGTCAAATAAGATGTCTAGCACCCTCTAGTGGATCATGTATTCTGTGCTATTTAGTACATTCATTATGTACTTTGGAATACACTCTCTCTGTGAGGGGGAAAAATATAATGGCAAAATTTATATTTAAATGTTTTATTTATAATGTGAATTTATGCAGTTATGCTTCCTTAAATATGGAAGCGTATTTCCATATTTAAATAATAATAATTGTTATAAACAAAAAGTCTAAATTATGACATAAGTCAAACATAAATTATCTTGACATAAATTGACAAAATTATGACTTTTTATCTCACATTTTGACTGTCATAATTATGACTTATGTAATAATTATGATTTACCAAAGCATGATTTTTTTCTTATGTGGTGGAAATGGGCTTCCATTCTTAAATTATCAAAATGTTTACAATAAAACGTTAAACATTGTTTGTACTGCTTCTGGTAATGTTAAATGCAGAACTGACAAGATGAATCTCCACAAACAAAACATTTTTATTTTATTTTCTCTTCTTTTCTTGGGACTAACCATGATGAGCATAAGCTCCAAAAACCAATCAGGGGCAATCCAGTTTCTTCAAAATCTTAACATTTAAAGGGTCTATTTTTTGTCATTTCTCATTTTCTCACTGAAGGTGGCAGTAGAAGATAGTTCTGTTGCCTGTTCACACCCTCTGTGTTATTGGTTTACATGACACTCGCAAAGCATACTGCAGCTCCCTAGCTGTTCCTCCCAGAGAGAAGTAGACTAGGCACCCTCGCCTACAAACAAATCTGTACAATACATCTATTACCATATGCTCAGGGATACTGAACAAACATTTATACAGGCTAAAGGAAAATAAGTATCATAAATACATGTCCCACAAGAGACCTTGGAGCAACACATCATATCGACTATCATTTTACACATAATATGTGTAATCTACATGGACAATACTGGAAACATAGTGTCTCATGTACTGAGGAAACATTTAGACATTTACTAAAGCTAGTGTCTACAGTTATTGTAGAGGTCACCTGCAGACTTTTCCATCCAAGAAGGGTTAGGAACAAAGGAAAGGGAGACAGAAGGGGGGGGAGGGCTGATTTTTGAAAAGATAAGGAGTGAATAGAGGAGCAAACAACGGTGTTAAATCTTTAGTGACTGAATAAGAAAACAGCCTTTAGTACCAATTGTTGTTGGCCATACAATAGTATCACAGCATGGCACCACTTTTAATATCCTACACAAACCGTGCGATTATGTAATGAGTTCTGTATGTTTTCACATGTATTTCAGACTCTGAACCTGCATAAATGTCATTATTAATCTCAGCTTGTATCTCGATTAATATCACGTGGAAGAAGAGCGCGCATTCCTTCACAAACATCGTGGGGTTCACCGCGCCCGAGAAAGTACGCATCTCAGCAGGAACAAAGACGTGCTCGTGTTTTGATAAGACGTCACTGTACTGGAGGAGCACATTTCTTTATTATGGATTACGTCATGTGTTTGAATAAAACGAGGCTGGCAGCAGGGGGCGTGTCAGGAAGGACGACTTCACGCAGGGATTAAAGTGCCAGCGGAAGGTAAATACAAGGCATGCCTCAACATTTGTCAGTGGCCCCAGAGCAAGTAAAAAAAAAATCATTACCAGACATTTTTGAATATTTAAAGGAAAACTTCCATTAAAATAATATTTACAAACCCCCATTATTTTCTTTTTGGGGGGAGAATGGGCAATTGTACACACATTGAAAGTGGATTGTGATTTTAAATTCCAAGATCCCCCAAAAAAACAAAAAAACTCACGCAGTGACTCTCTGAGACCCATGCAGTCTGTTTCAAGTATTGTGAAAATACAATTTTGGAGCTGAACTCTGCTTTTGCTATAGTTCTGAAATATAATTTGTGGTTATGTGTTCAGTTAAGTTGCCTTTGAATGTATCACTCAGGGTTTGATGACATGGATGACAAACTCCATTGATTCTTGCCGATAATGGGACTGATTGTAGTATGTTAAAGACATGCTTGTGAATGTTATTTTATTTCAATTTCATGACTTCAATTTCAGTCTGTTCTTCACAAAACAACAAAAACACTTTATGCCTTCCAAAAAACTTGCTTACCGATATCGGCTACTTTTATTGTTCTATTACTTTTTTTCTCTTTTTTTATACAACTTAGGGATTTAAAACTGTGATGAAACGAAATGGCAACAAATCTATTATTCCATATTGTGACGTAAAAAAATCTGTCATTTGTTGATTGGATTTTGAGATGTGGGCACTGCATTCAAAAAATGGAGTCAGATGAAACGTTTTTTTACGGGCGAGTTTAAGCAGACCAAATGATTGGAGAAAACCTGCATAATTCACCAGAGAGAAGAGTGGTGTTTCCCCGGAAATTCCAGTTATGACATTCTGATTATTAATTACAAGGTAAAAAAAAAAAAGATCTGTAACATGTATTTACAAAATTGGGTGCATTTTCATTTCAAACCACCATAAGGACATGCTTCACAAAGAACATGTTTTCAAGAAAGTAATACTGTGTTGGAACAGTGGAGAAAGTGACAACATTTATGGTGAACTATTCCTTTAAGATATTACTTATCAGGCATCTGATTATAACCAAATTTGTCACACTAACTCCCTCAACACTGTACTACTGGCTCCCTTAATGATGTACTGGCTAATTCTGTCTACTTGTGTTACCTGAAAGTCTTGTCTCTAATCTACAGCACATTCCAGATAATATGCCCAGATAATGTTGTTTGCATGTCTGAACTACAACTTCTCAAACTGAATCTATATTTGGAAATCCGATAAACTGATATGGGCTCTCGGTGCTTGGAGTGACTTGTTTGAACATGTCTTCTCGCCTGTTGAGCAGCTGTGATGGGGAGCAGTGGCCCTTTAAGAGGCGATCCCACAGGCGGAATCTAGGGGGCAGGTCCCTGTCAGCGGAAGAGGCTACGATTCTCTTCTCGCCCTTCTCCAGTCACTCAGTCCTAAATTGAGCTGGCTTGAGTGCTGACAGACGATTAGAGTAGATAGTCCTTCTGTGCCTTTAGATAGATAGGTGCAGAGAGAGAGAAAGGGCTTTCTGGATTGGAATTATTGCAATGTATCGTTCGTGACACCGAGGCACCGGTGCGCGCTCTAACAAGACAGTCATTAAGCGATAGTTGCGTCTCTAACGTTACCTTTAATTGTTAAAGAGTCTTAGGAATGCGAAGGGACATAGGGGTCAAACTGGCAAATAGCACAAAATGATCAATACAGTATACGAGCACGCGTAGTTTTTTTCCTTGTTATTGTAGTTGTCTTGATCTGACACAGAATGTGCAGTGGCTCTGACAGTTCAGTTCTTTTGTCACTACAGCGACTTTCTGCTTGTGATGGTTGTGTGCAGTGACGTTGTGGCGCTTTGTCCGTGGCTTCTGGCGAAGTGCGCTGGAGAGATATAGTTGTATTACATCAGTGCACCAAGTGACTGGAGTGCGACACAGAGAAGAGAAACGGCTCTGGCTGAATGGTGCGTGTTGAGGTATTGCATTATGCATTCTAATATTATAATGTATACTCGTGCATGTGTGTGTATACACACACACACACACGCTCATATTAATGTACTGGATTTATTTACATTAGGTACAATAGTTGTGCTGTCACAACATTTTGGCTGACAGTTGTGATTTAAGTGCGCAGTGTGTGCAAATACACCTTAAGAAGTTATTTAATTTGGTTTGGAATCACATAAATCAGTTTAGCTAATTAGGCTTTGAAAACGTTGAAAATATAGCTAATATTTGTAGACTTACGTGAATTTTAAACATTACAGATAGGCTATTTGAAATGTTTCTCTTATTGGTGCACTTTGCATTCACGCTGTTGTTTCTCGGAATCCAGCCAGCTATCATATTATTAATATTGAATAATACTGAATATTGTTATGGAATAGCAATATATTTAAGTCCTATATTCTTCAGTGTGGTTTCATATCTCATTCGTGCGGTCATCTCCACTGGAATACGAATAAGTCAGAGTCAGAGTGTGTCATTATGAAAGTGTAACGAGCAAGAAGATGTGCCATCAAGCAAGTGTTAAATTAAAATATAAGCGGAGCACTTTGCGTACAGTATACACGCTAATCTTTGTTTATACCTTCACGTGAGTGTTGGGCGTACCCCGCATTTCCAGAAGCCTTTAATTTTCACTGATTCATTAGACACATCGAAAAATTATACATTTAATTATACTGTTGAAATAGTAGCTTAAATTTGCCTCATTTGGATGGCAAAATGTTAAATTTAAAGTGCATAATCTCTCTCTCGCTTTCTATAATGTAATGTGATACACACACACACACACACACACACACACACATATATATATATAAAATGCACAGTTGCATATAATTTGTATATTGTATTTTTGTCTTTCTGAAACACAGGGAGGGGTGTTAATTATCATTCAGATTTGCACTAGTGGCTCAAGAAGCATTTAAGCACCATTTAGATATTTAGGTGCATTCATGGAATGTGACTGTGACCGCTTCCCACTGCCTGTTTATCATTGATCAAGACTGAGCATCAGAGAAGGCTGGTAGAGGCAATGGCAGAGACAACCCTGGAGCCACTGTCCTCTCTGGAGGTAGCCATCGATCCGGATTTTGAGCCACAGAAACGGCCGAGATCATGCACTTGGCCACTGCCAGAGTCCAGCTCAGCAAAGCCTGCTTCCAACGACACTGACATAATCCCAGAGGAAGAAGATGATGAGGATGACAAAGCTATGGCAATCAGTGCCAACAGTGTGGGTGAAGGAGAGGACAATGGCAGCCCAAGCCTGACTGAGGAACTGCATTCCACTAGCGGTCAGGAGAACACAGGCTCCCCACTTTCTTCTCAGCCCACTTCTGCGACCACGACGAGTCCGGGGGCAAGCGGTCAGAGCAGCCAACAGCAAACTCCCCGGAAGTCATCTTCAAGGAGGAACGCATGGGGCAACCTGTCCTACGCAGACCTTATCACAAAAGCCATAGAGAGCACCCCAGACAAGAGACTGACACTGTCCCAGATCTACGACTGGATGGTCAGAAGCGTCCCATACTTTAAAGACAAAGGCGACACCAACAGTTCAGCTGGTTGGAAGGTAAGCGCTTCACTCGAGCAGTGCTTCCCAACTGCGTTCCTGAAGGCCACCACACACTACACATTTTAGATGTCTCTGCTAATGAGCTGATGAGTTTAATCAGATATGAATCGATATAGAAGGGATATTCTGTCATCATTTACTAACTCTCATGTCATTCCAAGCCTGTATGACTTTCTTTCTTCTTTGGAACAAAAAAGAAGATCTTTTGCAGAATGTTGGTAACCAAACAGATTTGGGTCCCATTGACTTCCATAGCATTTATTTTTGTCCATATTATGGAAGCCAATGAGACCCCAAACCATTTGGTTGCCTACATTCATCAGAATATTTTCTTTTGTGTTTTACAGAAGAAAGAAAGTCATGTAGGTTTGGAATGACATGAGGGAAAGTAATTTTTGGGCAGACTACCACTTTAAGCAGACATCCAACATGTGTACTGTTGGAGGGCCCCTTCAGGAACAAGGATGAGATCCACTGTGCTAAATAATGCATGTCATAAGATGGGCAAGTGTCTCTTTTATTCCGTGCGGCATTTTCATTCTGTATCACAACAAGAAATACACGTTCTGGCATGTTTGGCCACGCTTACTCACTCACACTGAAAACTGGAATGGTTGCAAGGGTTCACGTGCGCATGACTCAACGGTGCAGCAAGCTCAGTGACGTCTCCTATAAACAAACTATTTGGACAATAGCATAAAAATAAACAGCAAATTAGGCATGATCAGTATGGAAAAATTGTGACAAAACAATTTGCTCAAGTTAGTTTAGATGGACTTTGTCTTGTGATAATGCTTAATAGCCACAAATACTATATCATCAGAGCCAAGCCTAAGAAATGTCCATGTATCTAAATGCCTTTATGTTCATATCCATGTAGCACGGCTTACATAAAACTTGGTACGGTAAATGTACCCGCTCTAGAAGCTGCCCAGACTGTTTATGTAGGTGTTGAATGACATTAGGAATTGTGTAACAACTCAGAATGGCACGAACTTCTTCTTAGCAGTCAGCATGCAGGACTGCCTTCAAAGGGAATGTCATGGCCATGGGCCGAAGCCAGCACAAGACATATGGGCCTTTCACTTACAGAGCCAGGGCGGGTTGGGGGAGGGGGTATATGGTGGGGTTGTGGGTGCAAGGTCAAGGGCTGAGTTTGCGGTAGGAGGCCCCACTTGCCTGTCTCACTGGCCGTAAATAGCCATGAATTATAATAGTGAAAGGAGAGTTACTGCCAGGTCTGTGGCAACGGCAAACTATGTGGAATCCAGCTCAGCGTGGAACTGTTTGCACACCGACTCGTCTAGCATTCAGGACCGTGTATGTGCACGATCATGTTTCTCAAACTGCTATGCAAAACATTACCTGTCAGTGAAACTTTTTTTTATGATCAAATACTATAACCACAATTCTAGCATGAGTTTACACAAATAAACACACCTCCCCTGGCCTCTATTAGAACCAGTAGTCTAGTGCCTGCTGCCATTTCTGATATGTGGAAAAATGTCTTAAACATGTTCCACTGCACTTTGCTCATGTGATACCTTGAGCTGTAAATATGACACACATTCCAGCAAACATCTTAAAACTTGGAGCAGATCTGTGTGTACGGAGTGTAGGTGCCGGTTTTAACACAACCTCAGAATATCTCAACATTCCGATAAAACTACTTCACCTAACCCCTTGAAGGATTCTTGAAGGATGAAAACATCAGCATTGAGACCCACCACGACCCTCTGAAGTATTTCAGGTATTGTCAATATTGCATTTTACAGTAAAATGTTTGCAAAACCGGCAAGAAAGGCCAGTTTCCTTGCTAATTAAGAATAGAAAAGGAGTTAAATTAAGAAACAGAAAGAGCAACAAAACATAAGTAGGCCTAAGATGTCTTATCCAGACACAAAAGGCGGCAGTGACCAAGTACAGGTGCAAAAATGATAAGCTGCATCACTATGGCTACCAGGTCACTGGTCCTCTCTGCTTTAATGAGAGGGTTTGGATGACATGTGATCTCATAAAGGCGTTCCTTTGTTTCTGTTGAACATACTGTTGTGACTGCAGGAGAGAGAGAGAGAGAGAGAGAGAGAGAGAGAGTGACTGTTATAGCATAGATGACATTACAGCACCTTCTTCCTACTCTCTGGACTGAATGTTACTGGATAATGCTGTGTCTTTATTTAATGATCTGGTTATACAATCGGGCGGAGTGTGATTGTGATGTCTTGAAAGTTTTTGAAAAGGTTTCTCTTTTGCAGGTGTACAAGTGATGAGATTTTATTGATTTATCATTCATAATGAGCTCCAGCAGAGACAGATCATTCCTCTAGTGCCAAATGATGTACTTTACTCTTAAAATTCAGCCTTTAAATTATTCAGTGCTTCAAGCATTAATTTGGGTAATTTTATACATTTTTAAGAGACATCTCTTGAGGATCTCTCTCACACACACACATGCAGATTTGCCTGCTCACTGCTTTTAATCTTGTAATCTCGTGTCCACCACACACACTCGTCTCTATCCTCTTTGCTATGTTATTACCTTGCGTAACCCTGCTGTTTATCTCACATCTGAAATATAATCAGATTATGTAACTTAAAAAGAACAAGCTACTACTATATTGTGTTGCACCATAATTGTTCCTGGAACACTTAATATGCTGAGCTGCCACACTAGGCCCAATTGAAATCTTTCAGTCACAGTGATGAAAGCGATCCGGTCACCCTCCAGAGGGTCTGTATTCTGCGAATTTCACTCTGCAAAGTTCCAGGATGTAGGTGCACTACTTGAGGTTTTTCCTGTAATCTGTTTATTGTCAAGAGGGAGGGGTAAACAAATACAACATTAATATTATATATGCGCATAATACATGCAAAATTGCACTCCTTTAGTGCTGTACATAATATCTGTATCTCGTCTTGATGAAATGGAATTAGCGACGTATCTTTTCTTCCATATTGTGACGTACATCAGAGAGTAATGGATTATCAAAAAATAAAAAGTGTGGGGTGGGGAGTTTTATGCATGTGCTTTTATCCATCTGTTGTTGATTGGATTTTGAGACGTGGGTGTTGTACCTAAAATTGGAGGCAGGTGAACGCAAGCTTGTCAGAACGGGTTTGAGTGGATGAAATGATTGGAGAAGTCCTGCATATGTTGCCAAACAATAAATAAATAAATGAAACATGCACAGATTAATTGTTCACAATGAGATCTATAATATTAATTTAGAAAAATAGGTAGGGTGAATGTTCATTTCATGCTAACTTCAAAGAATTTAAAAGTGCTGAGAAAATGTGTGGGAGGTGTGTGCAGATATTGCAGTGGCTATGACTGTTAATTCAGGTACAGTCACTGTTTTGTGCTTTTATACATGCCTGGTCATGTTTAGATGCATGAGAGGTCTTGAAGTGAGGGTCACTGGGGTCATAGATGTTTTGCTATGGTTACACTAAAGCATCCACCTTACGTTGAAACACAGAATTAAGCTATTTTCTTGAACGATTATCAATTTAATTGAACGAAGGGGCGCAATAAAACTATTTGTGCTACAAACCAGTGTATTTCTGATTATGATAATTAAAATAATAAATTATCATTAAAATAATATGATAACAAATACAAGTTTCCAATATCATGCAGTATAACAGGCTGTTTTTGCACAGTTTTTTTGTAAGTGGGTGACAGCAGAAGGATTACGTACAGTTAGAAAAATCTGGCTGTGCTGATGATGAAATTTACATCCCGCACACAAGCTTTAAGCACTTGTATTTTATGCTCAACCGGCATCACTTGCTGTAATTCGTACATATGCACCCCCCCCCCCCTCCCCCAGCAGCCTCGTACATATGCACCCCCCCCCCCCTCACCCAGCAGACATTTTCATATTTTAAAACATTTGATTAAAACACAGACTTCCTGATGGGACAGCATCTACAGCAGCATGTCAGAAGCAGATATGCTGCGGTAAAGACATTTGAATGTATTTCTAGTTCAGCCTGTGCTTCTTCCCACCTTTTCCATGCTCCTAATATACCCGCTCAGTTTTCTAAAGGTGTGCTTGCTTGCAGCTCTGACCTGAGGCTTTTGAAATTTTCATTTGTTTTCTTCCCAACCCGTCATTTCCAATTACGTATGTCTGCCCATCACGGTGCAGAAAAATAGTTCCCGTTTAAACTTTAATTAAGTACAATAAAGCTAGATTTCTATGTCAGGAGCTTTTGGCCAGACAAAGCGAGCAGTAATGAAGAGATGTGGCTTTGTAGAGAGTGATTATTGCAGTGAACAGAGGGAAATGACAGTTTTAGGGAAATACATACTCCGTGACAATCTCATATATCAGCCCTTTGAGAGATAACAGAGAAAAACTGTCAGACAGGAGTGGGCGATTATTAGCCTGCTTGTGGTGACGCAGAGGGTCTATTTTGGTGCTCATATGTGGGTATGCATGTGTCGACATTTGTTTAGACAAAAGATTGCATTGATTAACCCAGATTATGGTAGATTGAGTCTGGCAGTTCCTGTGCTTCGATTGTGGAGCAGGTGTTTAAATATGGGTCTGTGATGATGTAAGGCTTTCAAAACCTCCTTGACTAAGCAAATAAATTTTCTGTGACATAACACCAGAGGCCACATGGACGTAGTGAATTTGGTAGTCAAATTTATGTTGGCTTTTGTATCTGACAGAGCCATAACTTAAATCAGTGGAACCCAGGGCAACATTTTTATGGGACCAATAAGTAGGCTATATGACACCTGACACTTAGTCAGAAGTCTAGGTAACTTTACAGAGCTACATGTTTGATCAGATGCCAAGTTGAAGGATTTAATTTATCTTCACATTTGATCCTGTAACTGCAAAAATCACAGAGTAGCTTCCACTGTAAAATCTAATTTGTCCAAAACTATACTGCATAGTTGTTTATTAAACATCAAATTATCTTTGATTGCCTGTAATTGTCACGCTTTGCTGTATTTTTGCATAAAATGCTGAGTTATT